CTCTCCCTCTTCTTCCACAGGGGCAAAGGAGCGAGTAAAGCTGCCTGGCTGCATGAGCCCCCAGTGTTTGTTGGGCACACGGACCCGGACCACATACCACGTACCAAACGGGCATGAATAGACAAAGTGATTAGCACAGTAGAAGCTGTTGGGGGGCTTTACCGGTGTGCAAGGTTGTGATTTTGGGAATGTTCCCCGGAGGTGCATATCCTTTTCTCTGCCCCTCTCTCTGTCTCTCTCTCCATCTCCGCCATACAGTGGGCTGTCCTGCTGGGGTGCTCCCCGCTGCGGCCGACAGCTTCTTCTTTGTTTTTATTTCTGTTCATGCCGTGGCCACTTGTCGGGTCCCCTGACTCCATATGAGAGCTTCTCCGGCACCGGCAGAACCATCTCACCCACCTTGGTCGTCTGCATGAACTCTGCTGCGCCTCGGGGTCATCCGTCTCTCATTCTCTTTCTCGCGCTCTTTGCTTTGCTTGGGGTGTGACCCCGCGCGTTCGCGCTTCCCCATCCAATTTTTTCACTGGAGGGGCTCAACTGTACGAAGGTGTGTTCTCGAAGCCGCAGCGAGAGGGCTGGGTGCCTCCGCGGGGGCACAACGCTCCTGGTAAAGCAGCGACGGAAAACGGCAAGCTAACAAGGTCCTAGTTCAAACACCGTGTGTCCCTGTTCCAGCTCTCCTACCGTGCAACCCCCTCACCTGCCTGACCCTGCCTTCAGCCCGAACGAGAAGCCTCAAACCAGCACTCACTTCGACCTTCCACTCAACCCTGAAGCCTCAAAAGTGGGTGCCTATTCTGTCCACGACAAGTCACTGCCAGCCTACCTACACTACAGTGTTCGCGCCCACTTCTTCTGGTAGTCAGGCGGGTGCCCTGCACCCTGACGGCCTACTCCTAGTCTAGGTCGGCGTGGAGCGTTCTACGTCGGTGCAACTCCTTGCTCTCACTGCTGTCTGAGGTGCGTCTTGTCCCAATGTCCGGCTGGTCCGGGGCAGTGGCTTCGCACCCGGTGTCGTCGTGCGCCTCCTCGTAGTAGTTGCTTGTCGTCGTCGGTCCCTCGTCGCCCGTCGTGTGTCCCAGTTGTCGCTTTTTGGTCCCGGAGCTTCTTCATCTCGTGCTGCGGGTGGTTGAGGAGGTAGTGCAGCAAGCCCAGGTAGGTCAGCGGGTCCGGCTGGTGGTCCGTCTTGTCCAGGTCCGCTGCAATCTCCTTGCTGGTGCCCTCCAAGGCCGAGCTCTGGTTCCTCGTTCTCCACGACTGTGATGACGTTCCGTGTGCTCCACGTGTAGAGGTCGGTCAGCGCGCTTTGTGCAGCCTGTTGTACCTGCCGCCCAAGTAAGAACGGCATGATCCTGCGAAGTTGGTGCAGGGCCCTCAGGGGAAGTTACGGCTGGACCTCCGGAAGCGGGTTCTCCGGCTGGCTGTCTGCGCCAAGACATCCGCTTGGTGTCTCGTGCGCTGCCGGAGGTGCCTCCACTCGGCTGCTGCGTCCAGGTCGTCCTCCTCTTCATTTGGTGCCCCCATGCCACATGGTGTGCCTCGCTGGCTCCTTCGGCGAGTTGGAGGAGTCGCTCCAGGCAGTCCTCCAGTTGCTCGATGCCCGTCGGTGGGTGCGTTGTTGAGGGCGTGGAGGATGTTGCTGCAGATCTCGTCGCCCTTTCTGAAAATTCCTCCATCCTGTGGATCGCCCCCAGTCGCGCGCCCTGCGTGCCCCGTGGAACTGGCGGCCTCCTGCAAAAGCTGCTGCACTTGGTAGACCAGGAGGGCCCGGATCGTCGTCAGGCTGAGCAGTATGAGGTCAGCCGCGCTTGCATGTGAGTCGGGCGGTGGAGGCTGGTGCGGCGGGTCACTGCTGAGCCGGGCTTCCCACCAGATGTGCGAAAGTGGGGAGGAGTTTGGAAAGCTTGAGCCGAAATGGCTACGGTCGCTCTCTCTCTCTCTCTCTGTTCTGTTCTGTTCTCCGGGGCATAGGGTGCCTGTTAGGCAACCCGCGCCGAAGGGCGCACCCCTGTTTAGGGGCCTTGTTGGGGCTTTCTTTCTTTCTTTCTTTCTGCCGGGTGTTGAGGCTTTCTCTCTCTCTCTCTCTCTCTCTCTCTTTCTCTTCTTCTCCCAGGCTTAAGGGCTGTTTCGCTCTTGTTTTTTGCCAACGATGATGGATAGGAGAGTCTGGCGCTTGGCGCAAACATGAGACAACAATGACATGTTGGATGTGTGCAGACAGAAGAAGACTTCGCGATGGTGATAATTCGCAGATGTGGAGAAGCTCGTTGAGATTTTGGCGTGCCCATCGCTGGGGTGTGATCATCCGAGCTTCTCTGCCTGCACAAACTGGATCACGCGAGGTAGGTGCTCACCTGTTGGAGCGGGCACATCTGATGCTCCACGTGGAGAACTCGAAAAACGCGAACGAAAACTTGCTTCCAGAGCCTCAGAGCACCCCAGGCCAAACTACGGAAGTCATCTTCCCGTAGCCTCTTTGGACTGGGATCTGGCAGCCGGCTTAAACAATTAAGGTGCAAAACTCCTCCGGGCCATGGATGGCGATGCGGTGCAACTGCGGCACCCACTCCGTGGTTCTCGCGACTGATTGAAGACTTGACTGTCCGGCGGTTCCTTTCTTTACCCGTCATGAGGCTTGTCATCTAGATTATCGATGACTCTTTTTCTCCCGTGCTTAATGGAACTTGCATTGTGCCAGAAACCCCGGAAGTCGCTCGCCATCCTCTGCCGCGGCCACTTGCCGCACTAGTCCTCATCCTGCGCTTGGCCAAGACCGGTGGTTCAAGTGCTCTGCTGTGTCTTCATAATGTACTGACTCTCTGCAGTGCAAGTCGGAGGAATTGCAACTTTAGCCCGCCTGCAAGCTGTAGTCTATCAGCGTCCACCTTACATGCCGCCAATACAGTACAGACCACATCGTCACTGTTCCCGAAAGCATTAACGTGGCAAGACTCTTCGGCTTTTCTTAAGCTCCATAGAGTGAATGAGACGCCGGCAGTCCGGTGATGCAGCCCTCTCCAGGACCCATGTCGTCTGCCTTTCAGGACAACAAAACCAAACCCACAAGAAAAGCTTCAAGCCTGGACAATCGGGATCTAGAGTCTAGAGAAAGCTCGGGATCATGGAGACATCGCAGTCCGAGCTGTCGGAAGCCTCAATAGGAAGCAGCGGCTCCCCTCCGGTCACCGCGTCGTGCACAGCCTGAGCTGTTGAGATCTTCCAGATCTTTTCGGCTTTCTGCCGGAACCATACTCTGGCACAGCGAGTTCGGAACCGGCCATGCGTTCACAACAAGAAATTTGCAATTATCTCAGAGTATACTGCACATGTCGAGCATCACGACAACCATAAGCCTCAGGCATAAAGTGTCGATTCATGCATTAAGAGCGGTAGGGTACAAACCCCTTTCGGTGCTGCTAGGGCGTCGGCCACGAAGTGCAGGCCTCCCAGTTGCCTCTTCGACCTCGCCACCGGATGTTTTTGGATCAAGGGATATTGAGGAACCTTTGCGCTACGAGGGGGATGGAGAAGGCGGAGGGCCTCTCAAACTTGAGGTAGACTTCCTTCTCCTCTGGTCGGATCTTGTCGATCTTGTACCTCCCCGGTGGCTTGTTGCTGGCTTGGGGGACTTGAACGTCTTGGGCAGCGACGAGGGCAAACCTGGCACCTACGCTCTACAACGCGTCCCACGTCGTGTCGATGTCCAGCTCCATGAGAAGGTCGTCAGTCTCCAAATCCACCCGGATCTGAGGTAGATCAGGACGAAATGGAGCCGAAGAAAAAACTCAGGACCGATTGCAAGTTCGAAGTCTGCAAAAAATATTAGCCCTGTAGAGCTACTGTCTGACGATTCGCTGCACCGGTGCTGCGAAGAAGAGAAGTCGTCCAGGTTGCAGCTCTTTGGGATGACCGGGCGAGACAACACCTCTATATAGCTTGGTCTCAAGCTGGCTTCAGCGAGGGCTTGAGATCGACAAGAACGGCATGTCGGCGGGACCAGCATCATACTCAAGTCGGATGCCCACCCTGTCACCCTGGACATGTGTGGACCCTGACACTTTGTAAGTCACTGGCGGCAGCTAGCTCCAGCGACCGCAGTGTAGAGCAAATGACTGGCACGATGTACAGCTGAAAGCTACCCCAAAAGGTCTAGCACGTCCAGCTTCGTGATAACTGTTCATGGGTTTTTGGATAAAAGGCTGATGATGGAGATCAACAGGCTTGTCAAGCTACCGGCGAGGTTCAGCACCACCAGCCGCGGTACGATGCCACAGGCCGGCGACACCATCCGCTCTGCTCGTCAGAATCAGAATGCCATACACCTGCCACGGAAGAGCATCCTTTCATATCCTTTCTTATCAACTCCCATCACACCAACGGTCAAAGGAGATCTTGATCAGTAGGCTTTTGCAGGTCTGCTCCACCTGAGCGCTGTCGCTGAAGCCCGGAGGGATCCGCGCCAACTGCCCCGGCAGCTGCCTAGCGATTGCGCAGAGGGCAAATACCGAAACCGGGGACATCTTACGGCGCTTGAGGCCCGCACCCCGGCTTCACCCGTGCCAGAGCACCGAGGGAGATGGCTGTCATGGCGAACTGGGTGAAAAACAGCCTGGCTGAATCATGCGAACTGCTTGGACTCCATACCAGTGTGCGACTTCCAACAGCACATGGGCAGTTTCAGTTGTCATAGTCTGTCCAAGCTCCGAGGATGTCACTGGCAACGGCCCCGCCTCTCGGGCAACCGCTCATAGGCCATTTTCACCAAGGAGCCCTGCAACGTGCAAAGAGCGCCACAAAGTAGTCGGAAAGCGGCTGCCCCGGACTTGCTAGTGGTGCGAACAGTACTGCTTACCATAAGTGAATATAGTCGGCAGCGTGACGTCGATTCCTGCACGTTGGTGCTCTTCTTCTTCGCCGGTGGCTGGTATCCGGTCATCTTGGGGTAGACCTGCACACCGGGTTGCCCCCCGATGCCCTGTGCATGCAGGACTTTGCAGCCTCGCGCATGCGGTAGTTGAGCCACAGCCGGAGCATGTGGCAGTTTCGGCCTCGTGAGTGCTTAGGTCCAAAGCACTTCACCGGCGGCAGCCTGACGTCCGGGTTCGCTAAGCCCGAGACTGGGGATGATCTTCGTCTTCTCCAAGTAGTCGGGCATGGTGTCCTGTCAGAAGTCTCCCTTCGAGCAGTGCTTTGAGCCGGCACAGCCGCCCAGCTCCGGCTCTCAAGCGGGATCCACTCAAAACCCAACCGAACAGCGGAGACACGCTACAGTAACCTGTGTGATGCTGTGTGCTTTTATCGTGGCGGGAACTAACGCCGTCGACAGCTGCACCACCGATCATTCAACCTCCAGCTCCTATCTCAAGCTGTTTTAGCTGTAGAAAGACCTTGCAGCTTCCTGGCACATCTGAGGGCAAGCAGAGACGTGTAGTATACCCTTTCCTTCACAGCTGCCAGCGCCACGATCAGCATGTTCCTGAGAATTCTGGAGCGGAATCGCTGTTGGGTTTTGCAGCACGACAGAACTGCCCATCGAGGACTGGAGCGAAACAAGCAGCAAACTCAAGAACCTAACGGAAGCCTTGGGCGGTTCTAGCTTCAATACCAACTCAAGCTGGGGCATTATAATGCATTCTTTCACGTAGATCTGCGGAGTCCTAAACTGCTAGAAACACACGTTCTGCTTCGCAAACAGCCAAGATGCTTCATGACTTTGCGGAAGAATCGGATAGTCTGCACAAGGCATGCAGAGGGGATACCCCGCAAAACTCTGGCAGCGGTCTTCCTCAACCGCACCACGCCTGTGGCTTCACCTTGGACTCTTCAATGAAAATCGTCATCAGCTTCTGCACCTTGGCCGCAATCTTTGTCGCAGAACGGGCAGAGCAAAGACTCCTCGGTTGAGCCCCAAACGACCACAGAGTTGACCCGTGTGGGCTTCATCTGAGCGACCTTACAGAAATGGGACTTCTGCTCAAAGGCAACTTGGGAGCACAGCAGGCTGACAAGCATTGCACTACCAGGATTAGCTGGATTCGGGGACCAGAGCTGGGGAGCCGGACTCTTCGGTACACAGCGTTGGCGTCCGTCACCATCAGCCTGGCCCAAGCTAATGTGCACTTCCTAACCAAATGCAGAGTGGGGCGAAATGTCAATGCTCTCGAAGTCTTTAGCCTTTGCAGCTACGAAAGCACGCAGGGCAGACTCCCACATCTTCTTCCCGTCGCGCATGACGGGCCGGCTGAAGCAATCCACCTGGCCGTGGAAGCACCAAACTGAACTGGACCCAAGCACTTGTCGCAAAGCCCAACTGGGAGTTTTTCCAGCCTCCCACTGGGAGGAGACTGCACCCCAGTCAAGATCCTCTGGGACCTCCGACTTCCTGAAAGAAGTGAGCCATTTTGGGAATGTATGAGCTTCCCTATAAAGCTTCGTCTGGTTCGGTGAATCGGCTCGGGCATCTCGGGCCCTCGGAGCTGAGCCCCTGGACTTGGCAATCTCGCCGCTCTTCGTCTTCGTCGCTTGCATAGCGACACCTCAGCCATTCTGACGGCCGCTTCCAGCTGCAAGGAGATTGGCTGAGCTTTATACAAAGGCTGAGCCAGCTGAGTTCAAGAACATCTGATGCCCTTGCCCGCGCTGACTTTCGAGGATCCTTGGCACTCGGCACTTGCGGGTAAACACGCGATGTTTTTCCAGAGCGACCCGAGCATTGAGCACTGCACCAAGCCCACAACACGAACAACTCTGGTAACCAGTGATCAAGCAGACCAGTGTTACGCTTGCCGGTCTCCATTTTGCCCCGACGAGTCCCGCGAGTCATGCTGCCAGGCCGCCACCTCTTCGGACGACAGCCGGGACCAAAGCTGCCAACGCCACGAGACTGGTCAGGAGCTGTCGCGATTACAAGGCTGTTACTTCACAGAGGATGGCATCAACAGCTGAGGACTTCAGGGCAGAATATCAACTCCCGCCAACAGTGAGACCAAACCCCCGCGAGGACGGAACACCCTCAACGCGGCTCACCATGCCAACAAAATCACCTGATTGTCATCTATTCTCCAAGGTCGACATGTAGGCCAAAACCTACCCTATCAGTGTATCGCAACCTGCCTGAGGCTCTTGGAGAACAGCGGCAACTCCTTCCGGCGACTCAATTCCAGAGCATTTCAGGCTGCTGGGTACAGTCGAGCTGCATTCCTAACCTGAAACCGGTTGCCTAAATATGAAATGTCTGAGTGCAAGCCTGCGCTTCAAGCGTCTACTGCCTACTCAATTGGATCTTCTCATGGCGGGACTGTCTTACTCGTGACCATACAGCCACAACATGCTACCACCACAACCAAAAAAGTCGGCTTTCCTGAAACGATACCTCCTGCTGTTTAATGGGCTGAATGGGCCCGCCTCTGTAAACCCCGTCGGGCCAGAGGTTGGCCCTGTCAAAACTGCGGGCCTCAGCTGTGCTGGTGGTTTCCGAAAAAATACTCTGAAAGAAGCTGCTACAAAACCATGTCGCTTCTACATATTGCTCGTATAGGAGTGCTGTAGACCGCGGAGGTACGCTCTAATTACCTTGTAAACACACTCTTTAAAGCTAGACATACACACGCCTAGGTTCACGGACTACCGTCCCACCATATCACCGATAACCATTCTAACCACAATCCTACAACCACACCGCCCAAAAGACCTTCACAATTCTCCTAACACCATTCTTACCAACATAACCTCATAACCATCATAACCATAAAACCCTAAACCCATCGTATCCATCTACCCTAAACCATTCTTACCAAAACCCCTAACCAAAAAACCCAACCAACCAAAACCCCTAACCCAACAATCTTACCCAAACCCCCATCCAACGAACCCCGGCGTGAACCTTATTTAATTTTCATAATTTAATTATTATGAAAACTAATATAGATTTCCCAAGCACCTCTCAATATTCAGAATATGCTTCTTCGTCTTCAAATGTTCCGAAAGATGATGTTTCCTCACAGTGCAATTGCATACCTCGCAGTATTCATTACGCAAATTATACTGTTGTTTTGCTTCCCTGATTTTGTCTTTGTTCCTTTCTCTGTATCTTCTTTGTCCTTCCAAGCACTTATTGCAATATTTGTTTTCGCCCCTAAACTCAATCTTATCTCGTGCAACCTTACATCTAGCGCATCTTTGTTTTTCCTCGGTCATCTTTTAATATTATATGTCCCCTTCTCTTTAAACCCCTTTTCTCATAAGTCCTTTTAATTTTCAAAATTTAAGCATTATGAAAACTAATGTGAACACATATTATAAATATCGCTGTGTTCATCGTAAAACTGCTCCATCTGTTTATAGAGTTTATCACCCTTACGTTCCAAATCAAATATCCTATCTCTGTGTTTACTCCTTTTCTTGTTCAATATCTTTATTTCGTCAGCAATAGCCGACCCTTCCGCCTCTATCTCACATCTCTTACAACCAGCCATCATTGCAATGGTTAAGCAAATGTTTTCAGGTAGTTTTCTTGTCGCTTCGCACAATACTTTTGAATTATGCTTACACATAAAACATTCTTCATCATCTGACATCATTCTCTAATATTATATATCGCTTTCTCTTCAAGCCTATTTCTCCTAAAACCCGTTAAATCCTATAACTAACAATTACGTTTTCCAATCTCCCATCTAGCTCTCTCAATTTATCGGTTTTATTCATCATTTTCATAATTCTTCTTTCCCGTAGTATTTCTTCCATCTTCTGCTTATGTATTTTGCTATTCAGGTGCCTACTCAAAAATTTGTATTTATGAATAACTTTATCACATAGCATACAACGATGATTTACATATAAAGATACGTTTTCCATTACTACATTCTTAATTCAACCTTTCTTTAAAATTCTTTCGTCTAACCCCTCTGCTATAATATCATTCTGTATCATCATTAAGTTCCTCCTATGATATTCACAAGACCTATCTAAACACCTTCTACACACTTTATAAATCCTACCTGCTTTCTTCTTATGTCTATACTCTGACAATTCTTTAAATCCATTACAAACGCTACATTGTTTATGTATTTTCCCTTCTTCTCCTGTTATTCTGGGCTTTTCACTAAAATCAATATCAAAATCTTCGTTTTTCATATTATATTATTTTACAAACTTATTATTAGCTTTTGTAATCTTGGCTCAACAACATCTTTTTTAACTTCTTCAACCGATGTTTCTAATTTGTCAATTCTCTCTTCTAGCTCTTCCGGTGTAATACGATTTGAACCAAAGCCTGTATCACATATTTCAATACTACCATTTTGTAATGCACTTTCTGGCTTAAATATTACATCTGGACTAACATTTCTACTACTTCCGAATTTTATGTTTCTTCTGTCTTCTATTGTGTTCGTAGTAGTTATACTATTTTCTGTTGTTGTTTTAGTCTTTTATGATAAAGTTGTTTTTTACATCTGCATGAAAAGCAAGATATGCCCTTTGTAGCAATACGAAATCCTCTCTTAGTGGAATTCTTACTAGTATCGCTCATTTATATTATTAATAATTACAAATAATTATTAACAATACCATAGGGGTTCTTCTTCTTCTCCAAAACGAATTCTGAATTCTTTTGTTATAATATCTTACTCTGTTCGCTAGTAAGTATTTATAACGATATAGATTATTTTCACTGGCAATACAAGGGGCACAAAAGACGGGGACTATCCTTTACCCACTATTTAATAGAAATTAATTTCTAAATATTATTAATGAGCAATATTCCAATAGTCAAACCGATAAACGTTAAAGAATACGAGTTCAAACAATCCAAATATGAAGTAGCTCCTAAGTTACCGTTCTCAATGATTATAACAGGTCCATCAGGAAGCCGTAAAGGTATTCTTTTACAGTCGCTTATTCTAAACATTTACAGAGACGTCTTCGCAAGAGTTTACGTCTGGTCGCCTTCTGTTTCAATTGACCCTAACTGGACACCTGTTAAACGAGATATACAAACAGCGTTGAAGGTGGATATGGAAAAGGAAAAATGTTTTTTTGATGAATACAATCCATCAGAACTTGAAGCGGTTATATCAAGACAACATAAAATAACAGAATATCAAAAGAAGAACGGACATAAACAATTGCATTCAATATTAATAATAGTGGACGATTTTGCAGATTCTAAGGACTTTTCAAGAAATTCACCTTTACTAAATCAGCTATACGTGCGCGGAAGACATAAAGCAATATGTTTTATAACGGCTACTCAGAAATTCAATTCGTTAAGCCCTATCATACGTGTCAATTCAAGACAGCTTTTTTTCTTCCGATTGAGAAACTACAAAGAGATTGAAACAATGGTAGAAGAATTAAGCGCCGTCTTGATTAAGAAATCAACGGTCGCAGATGCGAAGAACCTAGCAGAAGCTAAAAAGCTCCTACTTGAATCCTATAACATAGCCACGGAAGAACCGTATAGTTTCTTATTCATCAATCTTATGAAACCGGATGTCAATGATATGTTCTGCAAAAGATTTGATGCTAAATTAGTGATTGATTAATAATATTATATTATGATAATATCTTTAATCGCTGTCGCTTTTATCATTACCCTTCATTTTGTTCTTGATTTTTGTTATTTCACCCTTCATTGTTTACATTTCCTTTTTCATTGATTTGACTAAATCTAACAAATCATCTTTTTCGTTTTCTATTTTCTCAATTTCATTAAGAGCATATTGTAAAGCAGACCAAAGCAAGGGCGTTGTCATACTATCATCAAACTTTAAATATCCGTCTCTTCCTTCTCTAACGATGTTACTCCATTCTTTCGGAAATCCTTTATATTCCATCATCTCATTAGCAATAAACCCACAACAGGACCTATCGCCGTATTTCTCTTTATCAATAAACTTATATGTTTTGGGTTTTATGTTCTTTACTAATTCAACAGCCTTGATATCTTCCTTCAAACGTTTATCACTGCTTGGTCCAATACTACCTGTATAACTAATGTCTCCGATAACATCAATACCACCATCATTAACAGTTAATACATTTTTAGTTCCTATTTCTATTATTGTATCTCCGTTTGTATCTGGATTTCAAAAAAAAATTGTTCAATTGGTCCTGCTAATTGTGTATGTCTAATATTCAATTTTTCAAAGAAATTAACACTACTACTTAGTACTCTAAATTCTGGCGTTCCCGTTGCTCCGATATCTACATCAAAATCAGCCTCTGATGTTAATTTCCCGATTGTATTAACCGTGTCATTAAATACAGTTGGTTTATTTAATGTTATACCATTACTACTATTTAAATTTATAAATATATCTGATGATGTTGGATCTACGCTTCTGTTTGACTGAATACAAAAATTCTGCTCTATTGTTGCTATATGATTTAATGAAAAATTCGCATTTGCTTGTTGATATATTCTTCCCCTTGAATTTATTAAAATATTATTGTTAAATGTATTATTAGTGCCGCTAAAATTACAATCACCACTAAAATTAGCACTACCACCACCCGCTACATTTAGTCGTGTTGCTCCTCCTGCTATTGCTCCGATACCTAAATTATTACAATATACTGCTCCTCCGGCTGTTGCTGTATTCAATAATAATAACGACTGACTATCATTTGATGTATTATAAGCNNTAATATATCCTTGCGCGTTCTTAACTGCTAAAACATTACTTGCGTCTGTTGTATTTTTAAATACTTCAATACCATTACCATTTGTTGAGGTTATTGTATCACCGTTCATTGTAACATTATTATCAACTTCTAAACTATCTACCTTTGTCG